TTGCGGTATTAGTAATTAATTATTTATTTTCAATCCTTTGCCCATTATTTGCGTCGTGTGCGCGAGGTAGTATATTTTCGCACAGACTTTATTTATTTACGCACCTCCTACATCCATATTGTATGATGTGATTCACCCAATAATATATAAAATGTACACAGCTCAATATGTTCCCTGATGGGTTTTTTATTAGAAGTATTTATACGCTCATATGATGTGTTGTAATGCATGTCCTTATATTAGTGAATTCATCGTAATCTATGAAAGCTAAGTATAGCTTAGGCCATGTAACATTAATTACGAACAGTGTACGGCTGCGTGAATATATTATCACTGCCCAAAATAATGCAACGGTGAGATAATATTATGTAAATAAATGAACCCAATTTTGTATGCATCACCGTTGGTAAAATTCGTCTTTTATTTATAAGTTGTGTATTAGATAGGCCCCTTTATATGCACGTTTTTATTTTATATTATATAGTACATAAATGGATGTATGATTAAGGGTCATAAAACAGAATCACTATGTGCCTACCTCTCATCATATATGAACTGACAAAGAAAAAATCTGGATAACACAAAGGACTAAAAATATCCTCGAACGGATTCCTGAAAAATCTAATATATTGCTACACATTATTTGAATTATTTGTTTTATTGTAACTGCCTTTAGAAGTACTTTCTTTTTATGCTTTCCGTTGTAACGGTCGTAAGTATATATTGTCACATCTTTGTTCCACTGCCTGAACCACTGACCACGTAATGGGCCACCTAGGTATTTACGAAATATATCCAATTTATATAATTGTATGCATGCATACCGTTGCATATGTGTATGGAAAGAATTCTTTATGTAATATTTATTGTTATGATGGCACTCCTTATGGTGATTACGTTTTCTGCAATGCTTTTGCATTACTTAATTTATATTTTAAACGTCTTTTTTGGATAGAAGAGTAATGAAAGATTCCAATTTTCTAATGCATTCCCAGGGTCCTCACATTTATTTGGCACCTATAGAATTTGTGGACATCTATGAAAAGACACATGAATAATGATATTGAGGTATTCTCACGATGATATGGTGAAGAGCGTATCACTACTGACGGAAAAAAGTAAAGATAAATGAAGTTAATTACTAAAAAGACGAAATTCAGCGGAGCTAAAATATTTCCTACAGAAGTTCTTTCGGAGGTATTACCGAAGGAAGGACCATTGTAGAACGTTTCCTTCTATGCATACGTTACACATGTCTGGAACGCTCTAAATTTTATATGCAGGATCAGATATAACTTATTGCCGGTACGATTTCTGATTAGGTAGAAATATATTACGCTGGACCTCTATGAATGGGAAAATACCTAGAATAAGCAAACAATATAATGCTTAAGAGATCGCGCTATATGTTTGAAAGAGTCTTATTTTTTTCTTACTCTAAGGATATCTGCCAGAAGTTGACAGAGAAGTGTAACTATTCTTTTCTATTATCTCCTTTACAATGAAGGCACAGCAGTCACTATATTTCCTATAAAGATAACATAAGGAATTGAAATAGAAAATTCGAGTAGATTCGATGAATACTAAAGTATGATCTTCTTCTTATGCATTAAGGAAGCCTAGATTAGACTGATTAGGATTCTTTTTTTTTTTCTTCTTCGGCAGTGGGATTACTTATATTTTAAAACCACTATTGCGTACTAATATATTTATAGAAATATATAAAGTTACTTACTCATATATGTAAGAACAATACCTTCCTTGTGGGATATAATTAATTATTGGACACAGCCCCTTTTTGTTTTTCTGATTTTCCTTTGAACAAATAACAGATATGTTCCTATTATAAATTTAATTTTTTCGAATAAGTGTAACTTCTGAATATTTAATATTCAATCACAGAGACACTTCGTAGAATGAACAAAATAGGAACATCGTAATTTTCTACTTACTTGAAGAAGAGATGACCTGAAGCAGTTACATAAATTTATATTGTGATAGATTTTGAAGTAATTAAGAATTACATAGAGAATCATTTCTCTCAGTAAATAAAACTTGTTTCATATGAAATGTTATTCATTCCCCATGGTTTGCCACTTTTAAGACCATATAGAAGCGATGCTATTTACTGTTTTCTTCCCTGTTTTGTTGAAAGTGTGACAGTAGTAATAATATATATTATGACGGATGCGTCATGCAAAGGGTGGGGACACTGCAGTATTGAATTATGAAAAGACACTAGGAATAACAGATATGCCTGTAAGTATAACGACGTTTTGCATTTTCCATATCGTTAATTATAGTAAATTAGGGAGGAACCTACAGCATTCTTCCTTTGGAAGCTCTAAGGGAATTAACATTATCGGTATGGACTGAGGGTGCCTGAATTTCTAGAGACATAGGAAACATGTTAGCGCAAGGAATACACGTAATTATCATACCTCTATACATTGCTATCATCTATCGATAACAGCCTATGTGTTTTTGAGCTCTTTACACCTTAGCATGGAAGATATATATACTTAAGCATATAAAGACATATATGTATATTTCCTCCCTTTTATATGTGGGATTAGTTCCTGAGTCATAAAGATAGGAAATGTTAACCTCGTGAATTATGATGCCCCTCTGGCATCATACAAAGGGGGACTATCGAGCGAAGAAACCGGAAGGGAAAAGGATGATACGGAGGGTACACATTTTTACGCAGAGACAGAACATAGTTACTAGTATATGCAAATTCAGATGAGAGCATTGTTCATTTGGCATAAAAATGTACCCCCTAAAATTACACGATTGTTCATGACGTGTTTTATCTATGCATATATAGAGGGAGTAATATATTGTTGAATTTGAACTGGTATAATATGACTTCTAATTTCATATTAAATTTTAATTGTATATTGCATACAATTGAGAGGGCACCTATAGCGTTTAGATGTGTTCACACCTCTCTGTTAAAAGTGCTATAAGTGCAATGGAGCAGAGATCTGCAAATGCCATGGGGTACAATATACCTTTTATCATAGAGGCAGAAAACAATACAGGAGCAGATGATGGCGAAACGATTGATATCAAGGGACTATTAGGTCAAAACCAACAAATGATGAACGAGATTATAGAGGCAACGGCTGGCTTAATAAAGGCAAGGACCAAAAGAGCAACCCGCTAAGTACGTATTTCAGAAACAGCGTGTGCCGCACAGGGAAACAAAGGGTATAGAACAGACAGCATCCAAAAGAGGATGACAACCAATCGAATAACTTAAAGAGGCAAGAGAAGATTCCCTCCGGCGGAAATAAGCGAAGGTGTAAGAAACAATAGGCCTCGATATTATAAAAGGGAAAGAGATCTATAATAAATAAGGGTAGGACGAGTAGTGAATAGACCAACCCAGATCCTCAGCCTACCAATTGAATTATATCCAAAGAGCCAGGAACCACCTAACAGGAAGCCCCACTCCGAAACCGAATAGTATATCAGTAGGAACCCCTAAAGAGGGGACAGATGTGAACTGATCACTCCAAGAACACAATAACTCTAAACCGATGAGGACCACAAGTAAACTCCCACACCATATTAACACTCGAGTGCACCATAGCATTATGGCATCTGAGAAGTGAACAAGGAGGGTAAAATCTTATAGAAGGAAAGATGACTAAATCAAGAAAAGAAGACCCCCAAAAATGAGGACGGGGGGAGCAAGTAGAAAGGGGGATGAAGTCAAAAATGGGGATATAAGACAGGAGAGCAGAATATGATTACGTTCATCCCAATCGCTAATTTCAGAAAAGTAGCCCCATAATTCCATACTGAAGGAAGAAACAAGTACTCAAACCCTAGGATTACCCAACCCCCCAGGGAAGTTAAAGCTTCATTTTATTCTTTCCTAAATTCAATAACCCAAGTGAAGGTTCATCTCCAAATCAAATTACAAATTGGCTGATCTAAGTTAAAGAAGTCTATATATCACCAGCCAAGTATAATATCTGAGACAAAAATCAGAGCTAGTAATTTCACAATGGTACCTGAAGCTATAAGGGATTAAGTATATAATATCCAAGAAACCAAGTAGTCAGCATGTGTGTGATATTAGGAAAATAAGTTAAGATAAAGAATCGCAAAAAACAAATCAACGGTTTGGAGTATCCTCTGCGGTTAGAAACCACCGCTTTACAGGCTAGTAAACAATTCACAAACAAGGCAAGGGACGCATATAAGTGCCCAAACGAAAACAAGGGAAAGGACAATAAATGGAACCGGAAAATATTACAAAGCAACTACCAAAGGGATAAATACAAGAACAATACTACAAGGTTAGCGATTGAAGGCGCCAAGGAACAATGGCAGCTTATAACAACTACGCGTGCCTGCAACAGACCGTAACAAGCGAATGAATAGATGAAGACCCCAGGTAAGATAGAATAGTGCAATATACAATATCCAGCCGCCTTAAAATGTAGGCTTCAGTCAAGAGACAGCCAAAGCACAAGACAGTTGAAAAATCGGAGCAGCCATCACAATTATATAAACAAGAAAGGCTGATAAGGAGCGAGTGATAATAGTCTGTCACCTTAAAAATCCAGAAGATTAAGAAATTATGAACGGACGAGGCCAAACAGGGAGATAAGCTGCGTACAGTGCGACATAAAATATAGGAACACATCGCACAGTTCCTGACACAAGAACAAACAGCAACAACTAAAGCTAAAGGGACCGCAGAGGGACAACCCAAAGATGTGAAGCCACGTCGAAAAGAAATTAAAGGCGGGAAGGGAGTAATCTCTACCGTCCAACAGGAATGACCAAAGAAGTAATGCCTTCCAAAAAAATTAAATAGTTTTATTACAAGAAGCACCGGAGAGAAAGCAGGGGCAGGAGCAGTAATCAGAAAAAGCAGTCGGACGAGACTAATACTGTCCTGTATCAGAGGACCCAAGTGAAATTCCTAATGGGAGCAGTAAATCAGAAGAGGAAGCACTCCTATTAAGGAAAAGCAGAAGATTAAATTGAAACTGGTTCATAGAAAGAATAGGGACCAGCCCTAGGATATGGAAACAACAGCAAAGTGTATAGATGTGCGGCTAATCCGAGGGAACCTAGCAGAAGAAGAAGAAGATGCGACAGAGAAAGAAGCCCTAGTCATTGAGTGCTAAGGGTCACAAGCAGTTAAAAGAAACAAGTTATTCAGCGTCCCGAGCAGCTACAGGAGAAATGAATCCCGAACCGAAAATTCCCCATCCAACCTCTCAATTACACCAAAAAGCAATGACACCCCAATAATTAGGCTGAACCCTAGATGCGGTTTTGTATTAACAGGGAAGGAGCAAAGTGTTAAAGGTCCCAAGTGGAAGATAGCAACCCGTATCAGCAACTGGGACCAAAGTATAAATCCCGGAAGGGCATTATGACAGAGGGAATACTACATGTTCATGGAGGTAGCATTCACCTGAGTAGTGAAAGAAGCAAACCCCCTTAAAACAATATACAATACGAGTCCTCGCTAACGACGAATCAAACAGCTGGAATAAGTACTGAGGATATTTATCAAACGAAGAATGGAAGCAGAAGGGAACAACCAAATACAAGAATCCCCAGCAGGAAAAGAAAAGAGGAGCATAGAGGAAAATACAACAATACAGGCGTATAGGGGATTCCTGAGACGAAAGAGCCCCTGGAGACGAGCAAGGAGTAGATCCAACAATCTGAGAAAGGAATGCCAAAATTAGAACAGGGAACCATAATATAGGGAACCAAAGGAGAAGAGACACTAAGTTATTAAGCTTGTCCTCTTAAGGAGCCGGGGGGAGGCAACAAACCAGAGCAGAATCCCACACAGAAAAGAAGTATGAAACCAAAGACGTTAATCGAAGGACAATTTCCTATCAGCGCAGGAGAATATAGAAAAGGTTACCGTAAAACAAGAAAGGAATCAATACCCCGCCGAGAGGTTATGAGAAAGATAAGAGGCCGAATGTGGAAGTCTGGGAACAGTCCATGAGGGATAAGAGATTCTATTTGGCTATAAAGGAATGAAAAGTGCTAAGAACTGGAAAGGATTTCCAGGTAGGAGCACACCCCCAGTTGCGAAATATTCAGTAGCCAAACGGATAATTAACACAGGTTACTATCCAAGTAAGGGGCAATGACCAGAAGTACCCAGAAAAATGTGATTCTTCCTAGGGCCAAACACAAGCAGTACTAGAACTGAATCAATGTGATTTGAGTAATTAGGCGTCAATGAATGTGTGGAGAAACCACCAACTGAGAGGAAGAGTTATAGAAAATTCCAAATAGTGAAAAGTATAAGAAATCACGAAAAACAGCCGGGCGTTTCAGGAGAGGTAGAGTCAAGAGCAACGAAAGAATATCAGCGGAAGGAAAAGAGAGTGGAAAGGGAACGGGGAGGAGATAAGTCAAAGCATAAGTTTCTGTAACCTACAGGCTAACATAGGAGTTAAGATTGCAAGAAACGAAACCAAAACACGCCAAATTCACAAGGAATATTATACCCCATGAAACCGTGGAGTGAATCAGAATAAATAGAGCCTAAAATGAAAAAATAGAGTACACAAGCAGGATAAGCAGGGAAGGGGACGTATTAGCAACAAAAACAAGAATAGTCACACAACCCGCAAGACCACAGAGTACCCGTAGGCTTGAATGGTAATATGAGAAAAGCAGTATAAGCCTAGACACAGGCAGGGCACTATACACCAAATGAGGAAGGAAGTACAGCAACCGTAACTAGATTAAGATAGAAAGAAGAGGGTAGTTTCTACCGGCGTTCTGATTAAATCAACGGCAACAACAGGAGGAGAAATAACTGGAAACAAAATACAACATAAGCGAGCCAGAGGGAACCGTTCAAGAACACTCTCCCAGGAGGACAGGTATCCAAAGAGGAGGAACAGGGGAGGATGGAAGGACAGAAAAATAATTAAGGCATTAAAAGCAGGGGTGATTACCTTTCCCGCTAGGGGGGCAAAGGACCAGATGGGAATCGAACACTTTAGAGCAAAGACAGCAAAGAGAACAGTACAGTTCCAGCCAACTCCCAACAGCCGATAAACGCAGATTTCAGAACCGAATGTTTATCTCCAGGAGTATTTCAAAAAAGGCGCCTTATTAAGCAGAAATTTTCCCGAAACCCCCGGGAAGCAGTGACCCATATATGAGTAATGTTACAAAACAACAAGAGAATTCATATAAACATCATGACAAAACAAGAATGCTAATACAACTATGTCCCCCAGTGTATGGAAGAAGTCTACGTCAAAATAGAATCTTTCTCCAATTTGTCAATGAGTGATAAATATCAGGGGTCCCACCTTAGCGTAGACAGGTCAACACTGAAACAAATAAAGAAGTTAGTCAGCGGTAGGATCGAGTATCCGGCTATGGGAGGATACCGTTGAGGCAACAGGAAACAGAACAATTTTTTACGCGGCCGGCATAGAGAAGTTTATCTCTAAGAAATTCCACCCCTGAGAGAAAAGAATAGCACAGAACCACAGGCAGTGAACTTCATGATATCAAGGACGCCTATAGCCAGCAAGTGAGTGAACACAAGTATAAACACCCTAAAGAATCAGAGACTAAGAATAGATTACTGTAAGGATAAAAATCCCCCCTTAGCGTCTCTTCACAGAAGTATTCCCACTTTACACTTCACAAACTGCAACCCCCACAGAAATGAATGTTTTATGCTACGGACAAGATGAAGAACAAGTCCAACAGCAACCTATAGGAAACCCACAGGAGGGAGCAGAAGCTCACGTGTGATAGGTTGAGGAGTATGAATCACAAGAACTAGGTTAAGTCTTAGGGCCCTCACATGAAGTCATATGTAAGGGGAGACGACAGGCCGTGAGAAACCTTAAGACAATATACGAGGGATCCACTCAGTCCTACCTCTAAGATCACATCCACCAATAGGTGTTTGTGAATAACCCCTACAGAAGAAGAATGAGCATTGAATAGCAGAGGAAACCTAGCTCTAAGTCGCCCCCTTGGCTAGAGTGACAGGTAATATTGGTACTTGAGTTCAAATGAACCCAGAAAAATTCGACGTCTCTGCTCCCTCAGGAATAAACAACCAACTAGATTGGGGAGGACGAGTGAGGTTAGTCAACAAAACTAAGGAGCACGTCTCAATCTTAGAATCTCCCCAAAATTGCAAGGGCAAGTGTCAAATTAGGGGATACCTAAATCCAGCCTTCAACAGCACCCAAGGCTCAAGTGTATTAGGTCATAACACCTCTACATTAAACAAACAACCCCCCTGAGAACAAATCCGGGAGAAGTCATATTATAGCAGGGAAATAACACCAAATATACCTCTAGAAGAGCAGGCGACAATACTCCCCACTGATCTCAAACAATGAGTAAAATATAAGCAAGTGAAGAGAAGGAGTCACTTAAGAGAAGAACCCCCCCACCCCCGGCCTTCATTACATTCACATCAAATAAATCATGCAGAGAAACAAGAGGCCGAGGAGCAGTTAATTCCGACCCAGTAGAGTATAAAGAGGAAGAAAATTCTGACCCGAGAAATCCGGGGGAGCAGAAACAGAGTACCTCTGAAGCAGATGAGAGTTTAAGAGGCAGCATTACAGGAGTCAGAGGGAAAGAAGAGGATGGACCAGATTAGGGGGGCCGGGCAGAAAATCCGAAGTTTACAAGAAAAGTCAGTGAAAACTAAAAAAAATAGGAGGACAAACCATTAAGGGGCCTAGAGAACCTTAATCCCACAAGCCACAAGGCTGAGAAATGGAGGCTATAGAAAGGGGCTAGTGCGGATCCCTTGGGACTGGGTTAAGGAGTTAACTGGGAACCCCAAGCAGGAGAAAATGCACCCAACCACAGAGGAGCGAGCATGAGATATCCACCAAGCAACAGAGTGGAAGCCTATAAGAGCAGGAAACCATAGCAAGGGAAAGATGCTTTAACCTAACAGGAGAGTATAGTTCAGAAAGTGAATTAGGTGCGAGTTCAAAAGAGTATGCTAGAAAAATCACCGGCTTAGTAGAGCGGATAGGAGAAAAAAGCAGAACACCCAATCAAACTTTATCATCATGGGAGGTAATATAAATGAAGCGTGGCAATTATCTCATTGGAGCGGAAAGGGCGGGAGCTGGAATTTCAAGATTGCTTCCGGAGAAACTTGTAAGTTAAACCAAGCAACAAAGTATTGTTATCCGGAATTAAGCAAAAAGGGTATGTCAAGATGGGAGGGGCTGAGCCAATGGTTGAGCGATACCTTATTAGATAATGGCTCTTCTGACTGGGGAGGAAGCTTTAAACCTGAGGTGAATACCAAACTGCAAGATTACAGCAAACAAGTAATGTCCTGGGGAGACGTAATCCACAGAGTAATGGACGAGATCCGGAAGGATATAGTAACAAATCCCAGAGCCTCCACCGAGACGAAATTCTGGACTCCAGCCGAATGGTATAACGTATTGGGGGATCACGAAGGAGAGGGCTTGCTGTGGGATAAAGAAAGTAGAACAAGGCAAGTTCTTATAGTAATAGTTTGTATAATAACAGGATTAACAGAAGCCACACAGGAGTTAAACAAAAGATATGAAGGCAGAGGAAAACTATGTGCTAAGGTTGATTCAGGATTGACCGTTAACGAGTACGAGTGGGAACAATGGGAAAAAGGGAAAGGCCAGATGAGTGGCAAGTCTACGAATGAATGTAATAGTGGCAAGGAACATAAAAAATGTCCAGACGCGAGTCTGGGTTTAATACTGACAGTCTATGAGGCTCTGACCAGGGTTTGTCCAAAGTGTGGTCCTTATAGAATAACCAGATGGATTAAGTCCTCAGGCAGAGGGGAAGAGACTAGAGGCACGCTATATTGTCGAATCCAGGGCAACGTTTTGAATTGTGAGAAGAATAAAGGAACCGAAGAATCCGTATCAGCATTATGGTTCGAGAGGGATGAGATCGCAGCCCCTACGAAGGACGCAAGAGAGACTAAACAGAATGAAGCAACCAGTCCAGGAGTATCCCCCGACGCCATAGACCAGCAGGGGCAGGGAGGAGATGACCTAACGAGTACTAAATTGAAGGAATCGGATGCAGTAGTTGTGGATCAGAATCCGGAGCCTATCTCTACCAGCCATAGAACACCACGCCCCGGAGCGAAACAGCAGGATGGGAGCCGCCACCAGAGAAACAATGGGGCAACTACCTCGGAAGGGGGCACAGCCAGGGGGGGGCTGGATGGGTTGAGTAAAGGACCTGGGGATCCATCCAGCCCAGTCCCTACCGGTCGTATTAATGGAGAAGACTTTGGAGAACAGGAGCCTTCACAGTTGTCTAATGAGGACAGTAGTCCTACCGAGAAAGATTTTGGGGGGATATCTCAGGAGGCCCTACCAGGCGAGGGAGGCGGCCAAGGAATGAGCAGTATTATGGGTGGGATATTGAGCGTTTTGATACTTGGCATAGGAGCCGGATATGGCCTATGTCGGATTTGGGGCAGGAGGAAGCGGCACAGGCCGCCTGGGGGGGGGCAGGATGACAGCACTGGACAGCGTGAGTTATGATATCAAGAGAGCACAGCCGATGGGTGCCTTAGGAATTCAGAGGCTTAGCATTCAGGAATAACGGGAGGGAGTAGGTTTCTCACCTAAAATTCTCAATGTGGATTCCGGAATGGGCTTGGGGTTTGGGATTCAGGGATTCAGATTCCGCATTGAGAATTGGAGTTTAGTATCAGGGTTTAGGGTTTAGGCTTAGGAAACAACCAATACTAATATGACATCCCTCCCAGCCACTTTAATACGGTTGTCTACAACCTTGAGTCATACCCTGTGTCTGAACCTGGGTGCACTAAGGAGTTATGTCCCATATATGATTACCGTTGTTCCATATGTTAGTTATCCCCCGATGAGTATGTTATGTCCTCAAGTGGGTCTCCATGCAGTCTACATTGTGTTAATATGTGTATCTTCTTCCGTCTTATTAGTCTGTTTGTCGGTTAATTATTAGTGAAGCATACACTGTATGGTTGTTAGAGGACTTAGATTGTCCCAATTGAGATAGTAGATAGACACATTCTGTTCCCATAGTTATATGTGAGGAAGCGTCTTTGTCTAATATGGATTGATCCATGAGTCAGTATATGGAATCAATCTCCTATGACGTCGTCTGTGTTGGGATGTGCCTTCCTTTTAAGGAGTGGTACCAACAGAGTGACGCATAAACAACCAGGAAATGTCCGATTTCGGACTTCGAGGAGTTGTTGTTTTATCATCTTGTTTTGCTTTGTCCTATCGGAAAAAAGGGGACACCCTGTGATTTAAAACATTTCGATATAATGCAGGGGTTACCATAATATATATATATATATATGCTGGTAGGATGAAACAGGGATGCTGACAAAATCGGTGGTATACTTTCTGATGGGTTATATGATGAT